TTAGTATTTTTTAAAAGTTTTTACTCCTTTGTAGCATGTTGTAAATTTTGGTTACAATTTTTTTTTCTTTTACGTCAGCGGTGGGCCAAAGATAAAGGTTAGTTTTTTTTTTCGGTGAAAAACACATTGACTATGACATTATCTTATTAGAAAAGTTTTTAATTGCTTTTGTAAATCATACTTATTATAAAACCCAGGTCGTGTGTATGTGTGTCTGTTCGTTTATATATTGGATCGGATTTCCTACATTTTTCAACCGATTTCAACAAAACTTCACAGGACTACGTAAAATTACCTTGCGGTGGTTCTGACAGCGCAAAAAATTGGAAAAACAAATGTTTTTGAACGAAATCAATTTGAAAACACGATTAAGGGGCATTGCTGTCGCGAGAATGAAAGGGGGACAACTCATATCGAGTTATACTTATTATAAAACCCAGATATTGTGTGTGTGTTCGTGTGAACCTAGAAACAAAATACAAATTTCATAAAGCTTCTTGAAACCTAACTAAAAGTCAATAAAATATTAAATAATTGCTGAAAATATGTTAATTTGTAAAATTACTAGGTAGTTAAAAACTAAAATAAAACAAAAAAACAAAAACATGCGTTCACTTAGATTTCGTAGATTTATGTCAATTCTGCTCATCCATAAAAGCTGTCATCACCTTGAGAGCTTCTCGATGAATCAATAAAGGTCAAAGAAAGAGGGGATCCATTGTTAAGAAATGCTTGTATATTGTTTTTTATGCTATAAGTAAGTAATATTTATTTCAAATCAGATTAATTCAACTTTAAATTTTCTAATTTTACACAAATAACATGTCACAAATTTATAATTTAATTTTGAAAGATTTTTAAAACCGATAAATATGTTTGTTTACAAATTTCTTAAAATTAAGAAAATGGCTGCTTTTAAATTTAAAAAAAAATCGAGCAATTATTTGACATTCCAATCTATATAATTTCTATCTGAAATACACCAGAATATTTTACTTACTGTAAATAATAAATTTAATCATTTAGCTTTCAATTAAAACTAAAATGAAATCTTCAGCAATGATTTTTCATTTTTATAATTTAATTTTAAAACTTAGGTACCGAAAATTCAATGGATGTCTAATGTTAAAACAATCTGGACCATTATGGTATTCTAAGGTAGATGCTGTAGTTAAGTTCTTAAATAGACTTGATAGACCGAGACTTCATATGGATGTCACGCATAGCGTTAAACCCGTTCGAAATTTGTAAAATGTCAGCTGTATACAACCGCTTTCGCAGATCAATGGTTAAAAATGGCTTTGAGTGAGTTAAAACTGTTTGTCTTGAAGAAGACCATTTTTGGCGTTACAGAATCACAAAGAACTGTACCAGATAACAAAAACCATATCACTTGAAGAGTTTTAATAACAACAGGAATTAAAATGGATATCACATGCAACTCGAAGAGAAAATAATGGTATAATTAAGCTGTTAACATTCTATACTGTTTAAAAGAAAAGGTTAGGAAGCAAAACCCCATCAATACTGGAAAGAACGATAACTGATTCTTGACAAAATTGTTTTAAGTGTAAGATTTCAAAAGTTTCACCCGACCGTCGTATGGGCTGCTGGATTAATGAATGCCAAATAATTCATTCTAAAGAAATATTAATATTACTAAAAATTACAGTACTGGAAGTTTGTTTTTGTTCATTTTGGCAATTAACAATAAAAATGCCTTCTATATTTTAAGCATGACAGGTTTCTCTCCTCTGTTCTCGTGGAAAAGTTCTCCAATGTATTCGTTCCAAATTTGAGCATCTGTTCCTCTCGTGTGAGCGCCCCCTTTTCAGATTTTATGGCGAGGAGTATGTCTTCATCTCTCTCGTTATTTATTTTACCATTTTATGCATTTTTATTTTTTCTTAACAGTGTGCGAATACCAACTGAAAAAAAAATAATCAGATGATATCTTTCCCCTTGCATTCACAATCTCTCCCCCATTGTTCCTGGTTCTAGTCCTCATGTCTGCAACAAAAAAACCAAGATTGAAATCCAATTCTAAATGTATTCGTCTTTTTCATTTTACGTAAAAGGTGAGGGGGGGTCTCATGCCTGAAATAGTTGCCTATTTTGCATTTGTTCAAAATCTTAGTCTTGAAAGTATGAAAAAGGGCATTTCTGAAAATTGGTGTAACACGATCTTCCTGCACGATAATTTCTCTCAGATTTATTTATATGCCGAAATAAATTAAGTCATTTCGAAGCTTAAGGAATACCTACTAATACGGTAACTGTAATCCTGGATATGTTCTCCACGGTTATGACTGTCTTGAGTCAGAGTAAGTATAAACTAATCTAGGAGAACATAACTATTTTGTAGACTTCTCATTGAGTACCTATTTCTTATGACCTGTTACGCTGGATAACCATCAAGCATAGCTTACTTTGTAGCTAAAGTAGTTGCATATTTGTTAATATTCTCAGAGCTTCAGTAAATACAGCAATATTTTAAGTGCTGAATTTTAATGTTGGAGGACAGTAAGCTGACCATTTTTTTTCTCTCTTCCGATTACAAACACAGAAAAAACCGATTGGAGTGATTTGCTCTCGATAGATATTTTAAGCATTTGTATTGCTATTGTAAAATAAGAAGTTTAGTTCAATTTGTTTCTATATAAAGTCAAGAAATTTTGAAACGTATTGTTAAAATTTCTTCCTGGTAAAATCGGTAAAAGATATATTTAAAAGAGAGAGAAAAAAAAGGATTATTTTTTCAAATATAAACCGTAATGATGGACCTGTTCACACTTCTCTTCAAGCAAATGTGACTTCATTTATCAAGTAGAGTAAGATTTTTTTGTTGGCAGATTTGTACAAGAATATATGGAGAAAATCAGTTGAAAAAAAAGGAGAAGCGAAAAAGGAAAAATAAATAAATAGGAAAGAAAATAAGATATAGAAGAAAAATAAGAAGAAGAAGCTGAGAGGAAAGAAGAAAGAAATGGTAAAGTAAATAAGAAGAAATATAAGACAAATAGATAGATGAAAAAGAAGAAGAAGAAGAAAGAAATTACAAAGAAAATTAAAAGAAGAAGAAGAAGAAGAAGAAGAAGAAGTAGTAGTGGTGGAGATGAAAGGAGAAATAAATAGGAAATAAAATAAGAAGAAATAGACGTAAAAGTAGATAGAAGAAGAAAAAGCGGGGTGGGGGAGAGAGAAAAAAGAAATGAGAAAGAAAATAAAAAGAAAGAAAAGAAAAGAAAAGAAGAAATAAAACATTTAAACATATATCCCTTAAAGCTAAACTGTTTCAATGTTAATTTTTGAAATTCTCAAGTCGAAATTTTTTTTGAACATTCCAGACAATATATACTCATTCTTTATTTTATTATTGGCAAACATTTTTCTTATTTGCGTAGATTTTTGCAACCATTTTCTTTAATTCGATGAAATGTCTCCGATGAAAAGAAAATTTTCAATAAAATAATGCAGCCATACGCAATAAATAAATTATATAATATAAAAACCTTTTTCCTTTTATTTCTTTTTATATCGTAATTTTGACAATGTTAATATCATTAAAAAATGTAATTTTTTTATCGTAACCATACCTTGTCTACTGCTTCATATCGTCAAGTGACATATCAGGTGTTAAAAAACTACGACGAAATTTGTACCAATTTATTCTTCATGAACTTGGTACTGTTAAATTTTTTTTATGGTAATATCTTGAAAAGCAGAACATAATAATTCTTCTTCTTGGTAGTTTTATATATTCAAAATGGTTTATTTGGATTTTTTTGTTAAGCATTATTATTTTTCTCTAAATGAATAGATTTTGGTAACTGCAGTAGAGGAAAGTGAACCATACATTTTCTGAAACTTATAAGCATACATTATAAGCCAAACTGTTCCTTCAGATGACTAATACTAGTAGTAACGGTGGAAATTTAATTTAGGCAGTCAATAAGCGTGAAAATTTCCTTTAAACTATTCGCATTGAGTAGTATCATCTATTGTTTACACTATTTACAGTGTTCAAATTGTTGTCCTCATCTTTGTTGCCATATACACAAAATATCGGTCATTGTATGCTCCGGCCATCTTCAGGTGACTGGAATTTTGGAGAGAACCATTTACTTCGTCAACCAGGGTAGCTTGTTCTAATTCCACGTTCCATGCCTCTTCTGGACATCTCAGTATCAGTTATTTCTCTTTAACTCATCTCTGCAAGGTTTTGTTTACAGCTGCTGTAACCAGGTATTGAACACATAACGCCTTGGGTCAGCTCACAGGATTACTTCGCCTTTTTCCAGTGACTATTTTCACTATTTACACAGTTCGAGCAATCTATCTATCTATCTATCTATCTATCTATCTATCTATCTATCTATCTATCTATCTATCTATCTATCACACACACATACATACATACATACATATGTATATATAAATATGTACATACATAAATATGTACATACACACATATGTATATATAAATATGTACATACATAAGTATATATACATACATATATAAATATACACACACCCATATGAAGAAAAATATACAGAAAAAACAAACAAAAATCTTAATATGCAATTATGCTGTATTAATGTTAATATAAAGTCAACGTCGGACGTTTCGGTCTATTTTAGAACATCATCAGGACATATTCATAAAACATAATTAACATTATTTAAACGGAACGCTGATCTTATATAAAAATTTCAGTTATCTGTTTGGATTAGCTGTGCTCTTATGTCCATCGTCTTTTCATGTTGAATTTTATATGTTCTAATGTTAATTATGTTTTATGAATATGTCTTGATGATGGTCTAAATTAGACAGAAACGTCCGACGTTAACTTTATATTAACATTAATACAGCATAATTGCATATTAAGATTTTTGTTTGTTTTTTCTGTATATTTTTCTTCATACTGTCGGATCTATATCTATATATTTGCTTACACATCTATATATATATATATATATATATATATATATATATATATATATATATATATATATATATATATATATGAATATAATATAGTATATATGGTGTAGTCTTATGGTGTGCTATATTTATGGGATAAAGTGTTCAATATCAGAAATAGTGTGTGTATAAATATAAAAGTAAACATTGAAGTGAACACTTAGAGGCGACAGTCTGTTTCATGCTAGACGCAATAGTCAGGCCAACTGATATATATATATATATATATATATATATATATGTGTGTGTGTGTGTGTGTGCGCGCACGCGCGCGCGCGCGTGTGTGTGTGTGTGTGGAGTCATGCAGAAGATTTCAATCCGAAGAGTTGAAAATCTCAGTGTTCACGAATTTAATTTATAATCGAAATGGATAATTAAAGTCTTCGTCTTTTTATTATCGTAATACTCTTTAGTCTATATTGATCTGTCCCTGGATTTATATCCTCCTCGGAAATATCCCATTCAGTCACAAACTGGTAAGCCGTATATATATATATATATATAAACAGGCAGATAAACACTTAAAAAGACTGTTTAAATTTGTACTCATTAGCAAGGTACAAACACTAACCTGTAGACCTATTAATAAAGAAATGTATAGGTAATAAAATCTTTAGACGCTGTATAGAAACACGACCGCGGTTTCGACTGCCAAGGTGTCTTCAGGTGGGTAATGCAGCGTAATCTCCTGAAGTGACCTTTGGCAGTCACAACCATGGTCGTGTTTCTATTCATCTAAAGCATATTAAATATTTATTTATATATATATATATATATATATATATATATATATATATATATATATATATATACATGAAGACGATATATACATTTTTATATATGAAGTACAATTTTACTAAAATCTATGACAAATATTTATACCGAGGTAGGTACGTACCACCACTACTACTACTACTATTACGTTTTTTCAATTTTCCACATGGCAATAATAATGGTAATATTAGCCGTTTCCTTATAAGGAAACATTCAGCATTCATTAATACTGAAGCCAACATTTCCAATCCTTCTTTCCTCATTATATGCCCTAGAAATTTCAGTTGTTTCTTCCTGATGTTACGTATAAGTGTCCTTATTGTTTCTATCTATTTTTTTTTAAATTTCGTCGTTGCTCATCTCTTCGGTCCATGTTATTCTCAGCATCCTTCTGTAGAGCCATATTTCTGTTGCTTCAAATCTCTTCCTCATCTGTGAAGCATTGCCCAGCATGCAGATGCCATCTAGGAGGACTGATATTACATAACAGTTTAGTACTCTTTTCTTTGTTTCTTTTGAAAGGCATCATTCATTATTCCAAAGCGCTTTCGGATTTCTGTGTCGCACATTCCGTCCTCTGTTAAAAACCTCACTAGATATTTAAATTGTTGCACTTGTTTGATTTTGGTATCTCTAAATTGTAATTTGCATGTTGGGCTGTTCCTTTTTGCTAACAACCATGCATTCTGCCTTCTTTTCATTGATGTTTAGTCCTTTCTTCTCGCCGTCCTGGGTATCACGATAAACTTTATCCGCATCCAGGGTAAGACGATAAACTACGCCCAACAATGGGGCCTCTGATCGGGATGGTGGCACCTGTTGGGGTCCCAGCTATGGCCCAATAGTTGACCCCAAAACTGAGGTAAAAAAGAATTATAAAAGTGTGAAAATGCGTTTAATATCAGAAATGATTTGTAAAAATTATTACTAGAAATAAATTTTTGAAAAAAAAAATTACCAGCAATACGTTTTAGAAAAAAAAAAACAACAAAAAAAAAAACAACAAAAACTATTACCAGCAATGAAAAAAATATTACCAGCTATGCGTTTTTGAAAAAATAATATTACCAGCTACACCTTTTTGAAAAAATTTACCAGCTATACATTTTTGAGGAAAAAAATATTAACAGAAATAGATTTTTGATAAAACAAAAACATTACCAGGAAAAAAAAAACAAAAAAAAACGTAATTGTCGGCATTAAATGACCCATTGAGGTTTTGATATGCCGTAAAACAAAACAAACAAACCAAACCTTTCTTCTCGCTTTCCTTCACTACTTTCTGTAGGAGATCTTGAATTTTCTTCTCTGTGTGTGCTGTCAATACAATTTCATTTGCATATCTTATACTGTTAAGATAGTGGCCGACAGTAATGTATTCTGGTAGGATTTCTAGTTCGCCCCATTGAATAAGTCCGGTGAGAAGAGAATCTCTTGTTTTACACCCATTTCTATTTTTTTGCATATTTACTGAATTCATTTTTTATCCGGATGCAGCCAGTTTCTGTCGATATAGCTTCTGGATTATCCTAATATAACCGATATTACTCAATGTAAATCGTATAAAGAAACCCGAAATGGGAAACCACACCAACAAATACGTAATACTAATCAGGAGTCTGTCTAGAGACCCTGACCTTTGATCATTAAAGTTACACGCTCCCAGATCATCGTTAGATTAATCGTCTAATGATCGTGGTCAGCGCGGAAAATCATTTTTCTTTTTGTGTCTTCTGTTTTCAAATATGACATCGAAAAAGACTACGTCATCGTTGACAAACAAATATTTTCTATTTCTAAAATCCCTTCAAATAGCCTCTGACAACTAAGTCCAGCTCCAAGCCGGAGAATGGGTGAAGGCGGAAAATTGTCTCCTCATAACCAGCTGCTTCGAGTAAATGGAGCTTGACAACGCAAAAAGACAGTCCATCTAAGGAAAAGGAAAAAAACCCGATTTTAAACCTTTGCGGTCTTATCGAAAAAAAGGAAAAGTCTAAGGAAATAAATCCAGAGAGAAAACCCGGTTGGCTGAAAACTTTCCAGCAACTCATGCCGCCAAGCCGTTCGTTGTAATACCCTCTATTCATTCTTGTCGGTACGGCCGAGTGTTTTATGTAGTCTTGGCAGCGTACCGTCGCCATATACCATCGCCTGAAGCCTGCGCCCTGAAGAGGTCACTCCAGTTTCCCCACGAAAGGAGTGAATTTTGACCAAACAGGACGCTATCATCATCTCCAGTGATGCTTAATATATAAATATTTGTATCTATAAAGCATAAAAATGTCATAAAATAATTGTCAGACTTTGTCCGTTTCATAATGTGTGACGTCATTTGTTTACATTTGATACGCCATGAGCAGATACGAATATACGTGAGAAATTCATGGAAGATTGAAGTTTAAATACAGTAAATTCGACCTTGCTAACGAACCTTCGTGGCCAAATCGGTAAAAGCACGTCAAGCTAAATGACGGTTCCGTATAGGATACAGGTTCGAATCCCTTCGGAGGACGAATATTTTCTGTGAAAATTTCTCGGACATTCAGGCCGGTAAATGTTGTTTAATACTGTTGATTATAAACAGAGCATTTACTTAAATATTTGTATCTATAAAAAGAATAAACATAAAATGTCTTAATATATATATATATATATATATATATATATATATATATATATATATATATATATATCGGCGAGAAGTTGCACTCAGATTCTTTCCATGAACCAGTGCCCTGTGGAATAGATTCCAAAATGGATGTTTCCTTGATCACTGGAATCATAAACTGTTCAAGTCTAGAGTTAACCGTTATCTTTCCCCTCCTATCCATATAAACTATCCCTTAATATATCCCTCTAGCTCGAGTGACCCCTTGGAACTTACTATATACATATATATATATATGTTTCTTTTTCTTATAACTGAGTGGATTTTACTGGTATTTAAAATATATCGGGATAAAATGCTAAAACGTATTTATTTTCGTATTTTACAAAAATCAATGTGAGAGAAATTTCATTTATACTCACGAGATAAGTTAATTTAAATCAGTTTTTTCTACAAATTCGTCGAACAGTGACAAGAGACGTAAGAAGTTCATTGAATTCAATTGTTTTTCACAATATTTTAAACTTAAACCAACTTGGAAATAATTTTTTTTTAAATCGACTAAAATATTAAAATAAATCTTTTAAGAAAGTAAACAATATTCTCTCCTTATATTCTTTTACTTCTTTTTTTCTTCTTCTTTTTCTTCTTCTTTTTCTTCTTTTTCTTCGTCTTCTTTTCTTCTTCCTTTCTTCTTTACATTATTATTATTATTATTCGTCTTCTTTTTTTCTTTTTATTTTTCTTCCTAATTTTTCTTTTTCTTTTGTCCTATTTGTCTTTATTTTTACTATTTTTTTCTGAATTCTTCCTGTTCTGTTTTCTGTCTTGTTATTTACATCGTCCTAATTTCTTCTTCTTCTTCTTCTTCTTCTTCTTCTTCTTCTTCTTCTTCTTCTTCTTCTTCTTCTCTTTTGCATTATTTTTTCCTATTTCTTCTTCTTCCTCTACTTTTCCTTGTATTTTTTCCATGAACCTGCCAAAAATGTTTTAGTATTAGAGATCTTCAGTCAGATTTGTTATTGCAGAATAAATTTTTCTTTTCATTATTTTTTTTTTAAG